TGAGACAGAGTTTCACTCTTGTTACCCAGGCTGGAGTGCAATGGCGCGATCTCGGCTCACCGCAACCTCCGCCTCCTAAGTTCAGGCAATTCTCCTGCCTCAGCCTCCAGAGTAGCTGGGATTACAGGCATGCGCCACCATGCCCAGCTAATTTTTTGTAGTTTTAGTAGAGACAGGGTTTCACCATGTTGACCAGGATGGTCTCGATCTCTTGACTTCGTGATCTACCCGCCTCGGCCTCCCAAAGTGCTGGGATTACAGGCTTGAGCCACCGCGCCCGGCCAGCAGGCAGATCTCTTGAGCCCAGTAGTTAGAGACCAGCCTGGGCAACATGGTGAAACCCTGTCTCCACAAAAAATACAAAAATTAGCTAGACATGCCGGTGGCACGTGCCTGTGGTCCCAGCTAGTCGGGAAGCTGAGGTGGGAGGATCACTTGAGCCTAGGAGTCTAGGGTTGCAATGAACCAAAATCACACGACTGCACTCCAGCCCGTGTGACAGGGAGATCCAGTATCAACAACAACAACAACAACAAAAGACATTTTGGGGAAGATTGGGAAATTAGAATGTGTCTGGATTTTAGATGATGTTAATTTTTAATTTTCTTAGGTGTGATAATGATACTGTGACTGCAGAGAGGCGTCCTTATTTTTCAGAGATGACTGTTGAAAAATTTCAGGGTAAAAATATCTTGACATCTGTAGTTTACTTTAAAATGCTTCCAAAAATAATGAAAGAAAGCAAATATGGCAATTTTAAATCTACACAGTGGGTATATGGGTGTTTATTATACAACTCTGTATTTTTTGTATGTTTGAAATTTTTATAATAAAATGTTTCCTGTATACAAATATACAAAATACACATACTGAGCCAGGCATGGTGGCTTATGCCTGTAATCCCAGCACTTTGGGAGGCTGAGGCTGGAAGATCATTTGAGGCCGGGAGTTTGAGACTAGCCTGGGCTACCTAGTGAAAACCCATCTCTACAAAAAAAAATTTTTTTTTAATTAGCCAGGCATGGTGATGTGGGCCTGTAGTCCCAGCTAATGGGGAGACACAGGCAGGAAGAACATTTGAGCCTGGGAGGTTGAGGCTGTAGTGAGCTGTGACTACAGAACTGCACTCTAGCCTGGGTGACAGAGTGAGAAAAAAGAAAGAGAGGGCGGGGCATGGTGGCTCACGCCTGTAACCCCAGCACTTCGGGAGGCCGAGGGGGGTGGATCACGAGGTCAAGAGATCGAGAGATCGAGACCATCCTGGTCAACATGGTGAAACCCCATCTCTACTAAAAATACAAAAAATCAGCTGGGCATGGTGGCGCGCATCTGTAATCCCAGCTACTCAGGAGGCTGAGGCAGGAGAATTGCTTGAACCCAGGAGGCGGAGGTTGCGGTGAGCCGAGATCGCGCCATTGCACTCCAGCCTGGGTAACAAGAGCAAAACTCCATCTCGAAAAGAAAAAGAAAGAGAGGAAGGGAGGGAGGGAAGGAAGGAAAGAGAGAAAGGGAGAAAGAGAGAAAAGAAGGAAGGAAAGAGGAAGGAAGGAAGGAAGGGAGGGAGGGAGGGAGGGAGGGAAGAAAGAAAAGAAAGAGAAAGAAAGGGAGAAAGAAAGAAAGGAAGGAAGGAAGAAAGAGAAAGAAAGAGAGAAAGGGAGAAAGGAAGAGAGGGAGGGAGGGAGAGGGGAAGGAAGGAGAGAGAGAGAAAGAAAAGGTTTGTAGTGCAATCCTATCCTCTTTATTTTTAAAAGCATAGTAATCTATGTGTCTGTCATCTGTTTATTTTTAAAATCAAGTATATATCTATCAATGTTGGTACAGGAAGAAAAAAACAGTCTACAAAGACATTTCAAATTGGGGAACTGGACAAAGAAAAAAATTTAAAATGAACTTTCTCTTAGTTCTCTTCTATAGTAGGAATTTTTCAAAAGGAACATTGTATTTTATAGCAATAAAAACAAAAAAGAAAGAAAACATAGATCTATAAATACCAACAGGATGCCCGCCGCATATTCCTAACCAAAAAAAAGAAAAAAGCAAGTTGTAGATAACATGCAACAGATAATTCATCTTTTGTAAGAAAAGGATGCCTCTGTACATGCACAGAAGTGTCCATATGCTTGCAAAGAAAGAGTGTGGATTAAAAAAAAAAACTGTGCAAGGTGGTTGCCTCTGGAGACAGAAATTCCACTATGATGTGTGTGTGTTACTTTGCAGGAAAACACTTGATTGATTGATTGATTGACTGCCTCGCTCTGTTGCCCAGGCTGGAGTGCGGTGGGGCAGTCTTGCCTCACTGCAACCTCCGTCTCCTGGGCTCAAGCAATCCTCCCACTTTAGCCTCCCAGGTAGCCAGAATGACAGGTATGCACTACCATGCCCTGCTAATTTTTGTATTTTTGTAGAGATGGAGTTTTGCCATGTTGCCCAGGCTGGTCCTGAACTCCTGAGCTCAAGTGATTCACCTGCTTTGGCCTCCCAATGTGCTGGAATTACAGGCACGTGTCATCATCCAGTCGCCCAGTCAGAAAACATTTTAAACATCCGCTTTCCCCATCATTGACCCCCAGATAAAATGAGAGGTGTGAGTGGTTGACTGGCAAGGCATGTCCCTGGGTTTCTAAAGTAGTTGGTGCACTTGAGGTAGGGAAAACAGAGAACTTACCACCCCAGTGAAAAACTCCAACCCAGTGAACTGGAGGGTGTTCTTTTCGGCCATGGTAAACTGAGGGATTATGATGAAGCTGAAGTTCAAGATGAATGAGAAAATGTTGAATTTCAAAAGCCATCTCAGAAAGTTGAAATAGGAGAGAATGCTGGTTCCAAACTTGCCTCCGATGATTTTCAGCGTCTTCTGCCACAGGCTGATGGAACTGAGAATTTCTGACAGGCTGCTCTTGGATCTCCGATAAGTCTGAAGCCAGGATTCGAAGCAGGTGGGTTGCTGTTCACTTAACAGATATTGACCGAGCAGGTGCCATAATAACAGAAATGGCCACCATGTCTGGAGTATTGTTAAGTGCAGGCAACATGCTAGGCATGTTTACAAATGTTATCTCAACTCTAAGGTGGAGCTATCATGACCTTCCCAGGTTTGCTGTTGAAGGTGCCACTCTCAATGGCCAAGATGGCCAATGAACTCAGCAACCTCTTAGTTCTTCCCCATGCGACCTCATTTTCCCACACTTTAACCAACCTGATGGCTTCGGGCAATGAAATAGCTCTGATTTTTGGTCTTTACCTTGAGCCCCCTTTCATCCTCATTCCCTCCCTCCCTGTTTTCACCCTCTTGCTGTGCCCATTTTACTGACTTACCTGTGAAATGGAGTGCAGACACTGAACACAGCAATTAAACTGGAGGATATGATGGGACTGTTTGCTTTTTTCTTTGTCAACTATTTTCCTGTAGGGAATAGCAAGAGAAAGTGAAAGATACAAACGTTGCAACTCATTCATTCAAAAAATAGTTACATGGTGGCTCATGCCTGTAATCCCAACACTTTGGAAGGCTGAGGCAATAGGATCACTGAGGCCAGGAGTTCAAGACCAGCCTGAACAACATAGTGGAACCTTGTCTCTATTTAAAAAAAAAACAAAAAGCTGGGTGTGGTGGTGTCTGGCTACATAGTCCCAGCTACTCTAGAGGCTGTGGTGGGAGGGTCACTTGGGCCCAAAAGCTTTGAGACTGCAGTGAGCTATGATCACACCATTGTAGTCCAGCAGCCTGGGCAACAGAACGAGACCTCATTTTTTTTTTTTTTTTTTTTTTTTTTGAGATGAAGTCTCGCTCTATTGCCCAGGGTGGAGTGCAGTGGCACAACTGCGGCTCACTGTAGCCTCTGCCTCCCAACTTCAAGCGATTCTCTGCCTCAGCCTCCTGAGTAGCTGGGATTACAGTTGCACACAACCACACCTGGAAAACTTTTGTCTTTTTAGTAGAGACACGGTTTCACCATGTTGGCCAGTCTGGTCTCGAACTCCTGGCCTCAAGTGATCCATCTGCCTCGGCCTTGAGCCTGGGATAACAGGCATGAGCCACCATGCCCAGCTGAGACCACATTTCTTTAAAAAAAAAAAAAAAAAAAAAAAAACTGAGTTCCTATGATGTGTTGGGCACCATCCCAGCTATTAAGACAACAATTTCTTTGGTTTACGGAGCTGACATCCTAGTTGAAAGCAAAAGATAGTAAGCGATAAAAATAATAAAGTGGATAAATGGTCTGATGGTTTTATAAATGGCAGTTCCCCTGCACATGCTGTCTTGCCCACTGCCATGTAAGACGTACCTCTGCTCTTCCTTCTTCTTCCGTCATTATCGTGAGGCTTCCCCTGCTGTGTGGAACTGAGTCCATTAAACCTCTTTCCTTTATAAATTACTCAGTCTCAGGGATGTCATTATTAGGAGCATGAGAACAGACTAATACAGGTTCTCAGCCCAGGGCGATTTTGCCCCCACACATTGGCAATGTCTGGAAACTTTTTTGGTTGTGGAACTCCACTAAAGAGTGGAGAAGGGGAGCAACTGGCATCAACTACACAGAGATCAGAGACGCTGCTGCACATCCTACGATGAACAAAACAGCTCCCACGACAAAGACAGATCCAGCCCTAAGATATTACTTGTACTGAGATTGAGATATCCTACCATAAGGTCTTTGGGACGCTTCTTCAGTGACAGAGGGAGCCATGCAGAGTTTGAAATGGAAGGGTGTTTTCAGAAAGACATAGTCACAATCGGTCTCCTTACCCTTCGATGAACTCATCACGTCTGCTCTGTTCTGGTTCTCTCCCTGCTTTCTTTGGTCCACCTTGAAGGCCCACCCCAATGTCACTGTCTATTGCCTTTCAAGGCCCGGCTCAAATGCCCCCTCTATCCATTTTCCCCCAGAAAAGTTAGGGAGGGCAGACCTTTCTGGTTCTCACATTGAAATCTCTTTCTATTTTGACTTGGCCTGATCTGCTTTCTGCCATTTGTAATGTACTTGTTGACAAATCTATTCCCTGCTGCCAGGTTTTGAAATTTATCTTTGAAACCTCAGAAAATCCTGCATCCTTGAATCATTTCCTGCTAATTACTGTTGTTTCCACTCTACTAGCTTCTGCCAGCTAACTCAAATTGAAAAAAAAAATTAAGCAACAATTAATGTAAACTTTAAAGGCTAAAACAGCCCTTACCATTGGGTTTTGAGTTCCTGAGCTTATAAAACTCCTAAGTTCTTTATTTTTTTTTTCTTTTACTTTTTTCAAGATGGAGTCTTGCTCTGTCACCCAGGCTGAAGTACAGTGGCACAATCTTGGCTCACTGAAACCTCCACCTCCCAGGTTCAAGCAATTCTCCTGTCTCAGCCTCCTGAGTAGCTGCGATTACAGGTGCATGCCACCATGCCCAGGTAATTTTTGTATTTTTAGTAGAGATAGGGTTTCACCATGTTGGCCAGGATGGTCTCAAACTCCTGACCTGTGATCCATCCACTTCAGCCTCCCAAAGTGCTGGGATTACAGGCGTGAGTCACTGCACCTGGTTGGCCTTTATTTTTTAAGTAAACTTTCTATTTAGCATAGTTTGAGATTTACGGTAAAGTTGCAAAGACAGTAGAGAAAGTTTCCATATACATTCACCAGTTTCCCCTGTTAATATTTTACATTTCCATGGTAGGTTTGTCAAAACTAAGATACCAGTATTGATATATTTCTATTACCTAAACTCCAGACTATTCAGATTTTACTAGTTTTTCCACCAGTGTCCATTTTCTATTCCAGGATTTCATCCAGGATACCATATTGCATGTATTTGTCATGTCTCTCTTTTTTAATTTTCATTTTTTTAAAAGATGGGGTCTCACTGTGATGTCCAAGCTGGTCTTAAAACTCCAGGGCTCAACTAATCCCACCACCTTGGCCTCCCAAAGTGCTGGGATTACAGGCATGAGCCACCATACTGGCCTGTCACGTCTCTTTAGAACTTTCTAGTCTATGACAGTTTCTCAGACTTTCCCTGTTTTTGATGACTTTGACATTTTTTCTTTTTGTTTTGTTTTTGAGATGGAGTCTTGCTCTGCCGCCCAGGCTGGAGTGCAATGGTGCAATCTCAGCTCATTGCAACCTCCGCCTTCTGGGTTCAAGCGATTCTTCTCCCGCAGCCTTCTGAGTAGCTGGAACTACAGGCGCATGCCACCATGGCCAGCTAATTTTTTTGTATTTTTAGTAGAGACCAGGTTTCACTTAGCCAGATGGTCTTGATCTCCTGACCTTATGATGCACCTGCCTCAGTTTCCCAAAGTGCTGGGATTACAGGTGTGAGCCACTGCACCCAGCAACTTCGACAGTTTCAAGGGGTACTGGTCGAGCATTTTGTAGAATGTCCTTCAGTTGGGATTTCCCTAATGTTTTTTGCTGTTTAGACTGGGGTTGTGGGTTTTAGGACAGAGTGGCCAGAGGAGATGTGTTTTTCCCATCACATGACTTATCTTTGGATATGTTAACCTTGAGTCTTGGCCAAGGGAGTATTAGGCAGACTCTCCCCTGGAAAGTTACTCCACTTTCTTTCTTCCATGCCCTACTCTTTGGAAGTAGCTCACCAAGCAGAGCCCATACTCCAGCCCAGGAGGAGGAATTAAGCTGTAGCTCCTGGAGAAAGGACTACCTACATAGGGTATTTGAAATTTTCCTTTCAGGAGGATTTGTCTTTTCTATTGCACTTAATTATTTCTTATCTTTTTGAGATGGGGCAAAAGTAGAAGATTGAGGTTCATGTGAAATCTGGGAAAGAAGAAAAGCCTTTGGTCCATACCTAAGGTTCCTTTTCTCTTCCATGGTCCTTGGCTGGTTCCTGATGGCTTTAATTCTGTCTCTGGATGTCATGGGTATGAGAGATGCAATTAACTTCTGTCCTATGAAAAAAATTAATGGAGTTTAATTTCTTTTTTCTTTGATAGAATCATAACACTAAAATGGGGTACTGAAGTCAGAGATGTTTTTATAAGAACACAAGGAAAGAAGAATATACGGACTTGGAGATCTCAAAGATCACAAAGGAAAACAACAAAAAGACACATAGATGTGTTAAAGCTCAAAGCCAGAGCAAATGAATAATGACTGCACTCTATTCTAATTCAGTGTTTTTCTCTTTCCTGTAACAAAAATCATTTAACAAAGTCAACAAGATACCGCATGTTTGGTCAGCCTACCTCTTTTTTTTTTGAGACAGAGTCTTGCTGTGTCACCCAGACTAGAGTTCAGTGGCACAATCACAGCTCCCTGCAACACTGATCTCCTGGGCTTAAGCAATCCTTCCACCTCAGCCTCCCCAAGTGTTATGATTACAGGCATGCACCACCATGTCTGGCTAATTTTTTAATTTTTGTAAAGTTGACGTCTCACTACATTGTCCAGGCTGGTCCTGAACTCCTGGGTTCAAGCAATCCTCTCACCTCAGCCTCCAGAGTAGCCAGGATTACAGGCACACACCATGACAACCAGCTAACTTTTTTTTAATTTGTAGAGATGGGGTCTTGCATGTTGCCCAAGCTAGTTTCCAACTTCTGACCTCAAGAGATTCTCCCACCTCAGCCTCCCAAAGTGCTGGGATTACAGGTATGAGCCACCATGCCTGGATCTCTTGCTTTAATATCCCACATCTCTTCCTTTTGCCCCTGATACCAGGTACAAGAGACTTCACATTCCTTGACTATTGTTGAATGCTCTTCCACCTCCCCAGAAGTACACCCTTCTTTTCTCCTGCTAACTCATATTCACATTTGTAGTCAATGTGGCAGACGCTATTGGTCATCCACCCCAAATTTATTTCCTCCTTGTTAATGGAATCCCAATTGTGTTTGGGAATCTACCTGTCTCCCTCACATGGCCCTGAGCTTTCTCGAGGTGGAGCCCATCCCCAGGCCCAAAGAGCAAGTCTTAGTCTAAGTAAACCAATCTCCAAGGCCCTGTCCCCTGCAGCAGAGGCATGTGACACAGCATTAATCAATGTCCTCTAAGAGGTGGTCTGCTGCTGAGAATTTCTTAGAAAAGGTTTGTTCCTTCTAAACAAACAAAAAACAAGAAAACAAACAAACAGCCGGGCGCGGTGGCTCAAGCCTGTAATCCCAGCACTTTGGGAGGCCGAGGTGGGTGGATCACAAGGTCAAGAGATCGAGACCATCCTGGTCAGCACGGTGAAACCCTGTCTCTACTAAAAATACAAAAAAATTAGCTGGGCATGGTGGCGTATGCCTGTAATCCCAGCTACTCAGGAGGCTGAGGCAGGAGAATTGCCTGAACCCAGGAGGCGGAGGTTGCGGTGAGCCAAGATCGCGCCATTGCACTCCAGCCTGGGTAACAAGAGCGAAACTCCGTCCCAAAAAAAAAAAAAAAAAAAAAAAA